CTTCATCTTTTATACCCAGCTCACATTGTCAAAGCTATATCAGAAATTCCTCTTTCAGTCTCTAATAATGTTGAGGAATGTCTCACATGGACCAGGAATTCATTTGGCCGTGATCAAGTTAAAGACGGTTTTACCTTGCTCCTGCAATCTTACAATCCCGTTATAGCTAATGTGGAGCCATTTTGAAAATTTCTTTGGTCTGTTGCTTTCCCATACAAACAGCTCCTACTCATTTGGAAGCTAGTGCATAAAGCTTTGCCACTTAATGATATTTTGCAAAAACATCATCTGCAAGTTTCCGGTATCTGTCCTTTTGGATTCGACATGGAAGAGACTATGGACCAAGTGTTCATTCAATGCCCTGATGTCAAAACACTATGGTTTGGCTGTGTCAATATAAGACTTCCAAATTTTGATTTTATGGTATTTATTCATTAGTTAAATCACTGTGCAACAATTAATAATGATGGGTTCTATACAGTGGTTAAGGGCATCATCATCCTCATCAATACCATATGGCATAAACACAACAATGCGTTACATGAAGGCAAGCCATGGAGACCAATAGAAGTCATTAATAAAGAGGTAAACAATTCACTATCTTTGACTCAGTTAGCTTTCTCTACATCTTCAAAGTAAAAGGTTAAGTCTCCAAAACCGTTAGCCTTTTGCCATCCATCTGAGCTTCCAAATGAGGGATGGCCTATATTACTTTCCCAGATAAAGAGGAACAGAAATACAGAATGTCATGCCGTCATTTGTCATCAGAGGAGGCCAGTTATTCAATTCATTTGGAGATGACGAATCTCTCAGCCAGGATTCTTTTTCCATTTATGTCTTCGTGCAATGCTCAATTGGATAAAAAGGACAGATCTTTTCAACATTCGACTGATGCCTCGTGGCGGCGTTACTTATTAGAGAAGGCGTTGCGAGTGTGTTCGTAGGATGCTTTTCCTGGTGTTGGAGCTTTCACACCTGGAGATTCAATGGGTGGTGCAAACCAAATCGTGGGCTTTAGGCTGCCAAGAAGTCATGGATGGCACTCCCTCTGCATTCTTCCAAGCTCAACTCTTGCTACTGCTGGTTTTTTTATGCTTCCTTGTAACTGGGCCTAGTGCATTGTTGAGAAGTTTTGGGTTAGAACCTACACACTTTAGTAGGCTCAGGCCATTTAAATGTACTTCTCATCTAAAGTGGCATTTTCTAGGCTTATTCGGGGTAGATACATCTCAAATTTGCTTTGCCACTTTTCTTCTGTATTACTAGTTAGAGCTATTCATACTTCCTTTTTTTTCTTATGTGTCTTCTGCTTTTATTTTTCCATGCTGTATCATAAGACCTTTATTATTTAAAAAGAAACGATGAGTGCGCTCATGTTGAATTTGTCCATGGAATATAGTCAAATCATAATAATTCTTAATACATTTATAAGACCCGTCATAATAATTCTTAATATAAGATCCATCATCATGCTTAATAAATAGTCATGTTTTTTTTCCAAAATACCTTTATAAAAAGAAGAGAAAGTTATGAAAAAGATACAAAAGAAGGAAGGAAGAAAGAAAAAGAAGGTAGAGGTGTATTAGAGGAGGAAATTAAAAGAGAAGTGTGGATAGAGCATTTGTCCACGGAATATAACCAAATCAACTACTTTTTTTAATCATATTTAGAAGACCCATCATAATAATTCTTAATATAAGTTCCGTTATCACAATTAATAAATAGTCATGATTTATTTCCAAAATATCTTTATAAAGAGAAGAGAAAGTTATGAAAAAGATACATAAGAAGGAAGAAAGAAAGACAAAGAAGGTAGAGGGGGAAATTAAAAGAGAAGTGTGGATAGAATAGTGAAAAGGGCACATGAGAGAATTTGGAAGAAAACTAGATGTTGAGTACGTGCTTAATAAATTACACAATATACATGGCTTTTTTGTATTATAATAATGTATTTTCCTCTGACAATAAGAAAGAGAAATTATTTTTGGGACCAATGAGCACTGGTTTTCTTTGCGGGATCCCATACGACGAAAGCAGATTGTTAATGGCCATATATTGCATGTCGAAAAGCTATTCATATCTATGTTGCAGCCAAACCATTAATGACTTGGTGAGATACTGAAAAAAGAAGTTTGTGCTCTTTTAAAAATAAAGAACTGGACTTTTTGCAAAGCTCTATGTATATTATGTATTTTTTATTTAAATATTCCTCCAGTCCTTAATATAGGACCCAATTCTTGAGTTAGTTTCGGTCCTAAATATAAGACCAATTTCTCATATTTATTAATTTTCTCTAAATTACCCTTATGGATACTCCATCAACCATAATCAAGTAGAAGAGAGAGAGGGGTATTAAGAAAGATAATTATGATATTGTAGGAAAAATGTGTTTCTTTTCTTATAATTAACTAATTTACCTAACTTTCTTAATCTAATCAAATTAGTTAAATGGGTCTTATATTAAAGACCGGAGGAGTATATATTTATGATTTCCATGAAATTAAAGAAAATTATATAAGTTAAGCGAATTCTTTCTGAGATAGGGATGGAGAGACAACATTCTTTTTATAAAGTAAAAATAAAAATAAATTATTTCCATGGGTCATCGGGTCAGTTGAGATTAAACCTTGCCTGCTTACTTATGTTATGGCAACCAAATCGTTCATATTGTCTTACGCTATGTTTGGCTCGACGGAGGGAAGGGGAGGGGAGGGATTTTAATCAAAGGAAGGGGAGGGGAGGAAAGGGGAGGGTAGCTACAAAGGGGAGGGGAGGGGAGGGAGGGGGAGGGTAGCTACAAAGGGGAGGGGAGGGAGGGGGAGGGGAGGGGAGGGGAGGGATTTCAATGATCTCCTGTTTGGATTGATTGGAGGGGAAGGGAGGGAGCAATTTTAATAATACCTTATTTTGTTCTAATAAAAAATTGACTACTTTAGCCTCATAAAATTTAAATTAATTTTCTCACTTTTTATTTTGTTAAGATATAACTATATATATATAATACAATTCACTAATTTTGATTTACAAGATACAGTCACACACTTATAAAATATCAAGACAAAAACTCACAAGTGATAGATTTCAATCAGAGAAAAGACCTTAAAGGTGAAACAAAATACCAACGGCCTCTTAGAATTAGAAGAAGAGAAAAAAAGTTTACAAATGCTTACTAATTTTGGAGATAATTATCTTAATAACCTCTTATTAGATGCTCAAAAAAACTCTCTTATGTAGAAATGTTTATAACTGATTAGAAGTTAACAAATCAAAAGGACATATAAGGAATTAAAATATCATCTCTCGTCTCCCCTCCAAAAAACCCCACTTTTGGAGGGGAGGCTAGAAGGGAAGGGGAGGGGAGAAAAACCCCTCCCCTCTTTAAAAAACATCTTAACCAAACGAGGGGAGGGGAGGAGCTCCCCTCCCCTTCTAAAAAATTATACCAGCCAAACAAGGGGAGGGGAGCAACTTCCCTCCCCTCCCCTCCGAAAACCCCGTACCAAACATAGCGTTAGTGGGTTTGGGATGGGGCTTTTTCATTTGCCTCCCGACTGGGCTATTCATCAATGCCCAAACTGAGTTATGCACTGAGTTTACCAGCAATGTTGAAAAGCAAATCCAACCCTATGTTCTTGGTTGCTTATGGAGCCCAACAAGATATAATTTGCTTGGGAGAATGGTCATATGTTATAGTTATACTAGGGAGCATTTGTTTCAGTTTCTTTGTTCTTTTTTTTTCTTTTCTTTTGTGAATGTAAGTACATATTAATCAATCAAAAAACTTTGCAAAAGGAACAGGAACTACCAAAAAGAACATCATCTGTCAGTTTCTTTGTTCTTTCTTTAGTTTTGTTCCTTTATTTCAATATAAATCTTTTCTTTGATGCCAAAAAAAAAAACAAATCACTAATCAATGTTAAAGTTTCAAATTTGTTATAATCTATCTTAAAAAAACTCAATCAGATATTAATCAACATAAAAAAGTAAGTCGTACAATGACTCAACCTGATTTTTTTTTTTTCATTTTTTATTACCAGCCCACAATTACGTTTGGCGAATTTCTATCTCTTAAATAGTAAGTAAATTTTTTTACAAAAAGTAAATAAATAAGAAAATGATTTTAATAAAAAGATTCTGTCCCTCAAAAGTCAAAAATTGTGTTCATGATTAAAGCCCCTGAAGCTTGAATATAAAAGAAAATGTAATAGCAATTTAATAAACAATGGGAATAATTTGTAAGAAACCATAAATCTACAGTTAATTTTTATATTTAGAGGAGGATTGGGGAACATAATAACTTGCCACGTTAATTTTATGTTAATTAACCGCGATAACTTGTGGCAATGTGAGATGATAATGTTTTGTGAGGAAAAAAAGCAGATACAATAATTAATAAATTCATAGTCTTTTTATGGCACATCATTCAAAAAAAAAAAGTTAGGGCAAAGGTATACCTTTGCTTTTCTTAAAATAAAAAAATATACACAATAGTTTCTTGACGTTATAAAATTTCTTTTTACTCGTCTAACTTTTGACACTACTATTTCATATGATGATATTTTATAACAAGTAATAATTTTTTATGCCAATCGTTATTATTTTAAGTAAACACAAGGCCCTTAACTTTATGGATAAATTTGCCACAAAATTATATGGAATGGGAATAAATACAAGGAGAGAGAGACTGTGCCAAAAATCAAAGCTTAAAATAATAATTAAAAAAAAGGTTTCTCTCTACCGTATTTTCCTTTAAATGTTCAAAGCAAATAGTGAAAGAGTATAATTTATCGAACTATGCTAACTGACATGAAAAAGGTCCAGCTAATTAAGTTTCCGGGGCGGGGCGGGGCGGGGCGGGGCGGAATAAAGGATACAACAACATGCGGAATAGGCCTCTATGATTATTAACGAGGATGCATGAAATACATGAAGCTGAAAGTTTAGTTAATAATTAATAAATCATACAAACAATACATCGTTTGTTTTTTTTCTTTTTTTTGGTCTAAAAGCTCAGCCACATACTTATATAAGGCCTTCACGCAAGAAAGCTGGAGAAAGAAAGCTAATGAAAACCGGTGATCATTGCTCTCGATGGTGAAACCACTCTGCAAACATGTACAGGTATAATTGATATTGTAAGCAATAATTATTACACATGAAAGTAAAAAAGATGAAATCTATATTTATGCTATAAATAATGTGTTACCTCTCAGTCTCACAATTGGAAAGGGATCTTCGAACTTTGATTGGAATTTGTGCTTTGCTGCGGGGTCATCCCATTCCAACTTGTCCCACCAATCTTGAGGTCCATGGATATGTTCCAACTTATGTTTGGCAGAGTTGGAATCAAGTGGTAACTTGTTCAGCTTTGGACACGAGGTTATCCCAATGTATCTGAGGGAAGGAAAAAGCAAGGATGCCTTGTGAATACTCTCAAGTCTTGGTAAGTTGCACAAACGCAATATGACAAGAGAAGAGAATACAAAAGAAGAAGAAGAATCCATATTCTCATTATTCTTTATTGAGCAGTCTTCAACTTCTTCTTCTTTTATCACTTCTTCCATTGAGTCACAATTAGAAATCTCAAGTTCTTGAAGAAGTGGAGCATACTTGAGCCATGTCGCATGCGTTGGTGAACATGAATCAATTGTGACACTTCGGAGCTTGGTCAGACAACTTGTATCAAAAACATAAGAATATTGCTCTCTTCTAATATGCAACCCTTGGCAACCAAATGACTGCAGCTGCTTCATTTTTGACAAGGATGCCAGTAATGTCATCTCATCAATCCCACAGGAGACGTCACTAAAAAGGCTGTATATACAACTTTGCAATTTGGTTGACTTCAATAATTTTTTCAAACCATGTTTACTCTTTATTTCTATACGTAACTCCTCAATATTTGGTAGGCACTCCAACTCTTTTAAAATAGCTCTCTCTTCTGAATAATTTATCCCAGATAGTCTAACAACTCTTAATCGTGGAAGACTTGATAGCACTCCCAATAGAAAAGGACATCTTGTGTTGAATGCTTCCAAGCTAAGAAACTTTAAATTTGTCAAGTACCGCAAGTTATTCAAAAACTCTGCTTCTAGAATATGTGTAGTGACCACAGAAAGATATTCCAAAGAAACTAAACCCCTAATGTCACCAAATAATCGTCCTCTGACTTGTATGTCCAAGACTTTCAATCTTTTCATATATTTAATATCTTCCAGACATAAGACGTCATTTATTTTCAATAAGACTACTGTTGTGGCATTTGGAGGATCCCGGATTTTTTGTGATTCCCAATAATTCATTATTGAAATCCTTTGCATAAATTCCATATTCTCTTGATCATGTGCTATCCAAAGTGCCATGTCACGGATCATATCATGCATTTTAACTGTACGAAACATAGAAAGATCATCTTCAACACTTTCTAACAAGCATGAAAGCTTCAACTTTTCAATAATAGACTCCCCATGACCATACATATCTTGTACACTCTTTGTCATATCTTTACAAAGAAATTTCTCCAACATCCATTTGTCGATGAGATTGAGAACTCGAATCTCACAATCTTCCGGGTACAATGCACAATACAAGAAACAACGCTTTTGCACCTCATCCAATCGATCGTAGCTAAATTTAAGGACAGAGAATACTTTCTTCTCCAAATCCGGAGCAGTTAGTGAAGAACTTGTTAAGTTTTTTATTGAATGTTCCCAAGCCTCCGCACTCTTCACTCCAGCCATGGCACTTCCTACCACAATAAGTGCAAGCGGTAGCCTTTTACATTCTTTAGCCATTTTCTCTGCAAGCTTTGGAATACTAGGGTCTGACCTCAAAGTGTCCTCACCAACTTTCATGTAAAATAACTTTGTCGCTTCTTCCTCTGTCAAAGTTTCTACCTTGAATGTTCTTTCAGCTTGCATTTTTGCACACACATTTTTTAACCGAGTTGTGAATAACACTTTGGATTGAAAATTAGTTTCCCTTGGATGTGGGACGCCCATCAATTTCAAGTCCATTTCATCCCACATGTCATCCAGTAATAAGGCAAATTTCTTTTGTTTGAGGACACTATATATCTTTGCTGCTTTTTCATCTTGATTATTACAGTGACTCCAAATGCCATCATCAATCCCAACCAAATTTCTAATCTTATCCATAATACTATTCAAGTTGGACTCTTTTGACACCACGACCCACATCACAAAATTAAATTCTAGCCTCCTCTTCCCAAGTTCATTGTTAATTTTCTTTAACAAGGTAGTCTTTCCCACCCCGCCCATCCCATGTAAACCAATGATGCCAACATTCTCTTCTTCAATGCTCTTCCATACCTTATTAAATATCAAATCTAATCCCACTACTTCATCTTGAGGCATCTCAATTGGCTTGGGTGGTATTGTGTGAGCAATTTTAAAATTTTCGCTAAACCTTTTGCCGTCTGTTGCTAGCTGATCTACATTCACTAGCATCTTAGCAGCTTTTTTGCCTACCCTATGGTTTGACATACAATTCTTTGGGCAATATTTACTTAGACATCTGTCTTGCATTACTTTGGCTCCTTCAACTTGAATAACTATTATTTCCTGTGTTAGGTATGTATAAATTACACTCTTAGCATATTACTTACAGTCTGACACAAAAAATAAATATTATTTTATGAATTATAAATTATGAAATAAATCAATTTGTAAATTTGATTATTCTATTAATTGAACATATATGTTTACATAGTAATTAATTATAACATCATTTATCAACAGTCAAATAACATTATAAAACGGTTTGTTCTTTTCTTTACCTTCTAAACGATTTGTTCTATGCATATATTTTAATATTTTCATACTTGTTAAAAAATTACACAAAATTTTATCAATTTCTTATTTTTGTAAAGTTAAAATTACTAAATATTTTAAATTTTTTTACTAAAGATATTATACAGATAACCAGTAAATATTAAAATAAACTATATTAAGATATGAATTAGAAATTTATTTTGATGAGGGAACAAGTTTTAAATAAGATTAATTCTAAATTTGTAATATAGTTTTCAATTAAAACAAGTATCCTTCTAGTTTTGTTTGAGGCTTTTAATATATTAAACTAAAATGTATGTTTTGAAAATCAAAGAAGAATTTAATAATTAAGGTAAAATATAAAGAAGAATTTAATAATTAAGGTAAAATATAAAGGTAGTAAGATTTATCACTATAATAATTTTTATTACTTTCACCAAAAATACAAACATTTTTATGAGTCATCAATTATAAAATAAATTAATTTGTAAATTTTATTTTTCTATAAATTAAACATATCCATTTTGTTTCTCATATTTATTCATTATTTTCCAAAGTAGTCCTTATGTTGATTACACATGATAAAGCATTTTCATCCTAATGCACATGATTAACAAGGATATTTTAGAAAAAAATAACATTCATTTATTACAAATAACTAACTTATCTAATTTCATTAGTAATCGTAAACTAGTGATCTAGCTCGAGATGAACCGTGATCATATAATAAACACTTTAAAATTGAACTAAAATTTTTTTTTAAAAATGAAATTAGGAACATGTTGGATGGCCAGTACCTGTTGAATGTCGTCGACTTTTTTCAGCCATCTATCGACTTCGTGTGTTCTTTGCATTTGTCCCGTGTTCTCAACTTCTTCAACTCTTGTCTTCAAATCCTCTTTCATGCTTCGAAGATCTTCCCATTTATCTTTCAATAACTCCAAATTCTCTTCCAATTTACAGATATAATCACCTTCTTTCTTGGCACCAACACAAAAACACTTGGTAATGTCCCATATGATTCCCCCAGCCTCATCCATATCTTCAAAACAATGCTAAGTAGTGGACATGTTAATTAGAGCAATTTCTTTTTCTGGGAAAAAAAGGCTATTTGTATAGTATATGTTGTGCGTTTAACCTAAAAGTAAAAAACAACAAAGTCCTGGAAATAAATCAAGACCTCACAATTAACAAATAACATGAATCTTAACTAATTAACCCCGAACCAGACATCTTTCTACTGTTTCTTCCAAAAGCTTACTACTTTTTGAAGGCTTGCCATCTTACAAACTGTCTAATCATTTCATTTAATACAGGTCCATCGAAAAAGTTGATTTGAAACACAAATTTCTATTCTTTTAGCTAAGGTGATATAGAAACTAGAGTTTAAAAGCAGTAATATCCCAAAAGGATATCCATGAGATACCTCAGTGTATTCTTTCTGATTAGGCTTGTGCTTCGTCAAAGGCTTGGCTTTTCCACGTACAAACCCAAATATTAATCATAGATGAAAACAAAGTCGAGGTTCTAGTCAACAGACCAAAACACGAGGGTTTCATAGATTGAAAATAAGGGGGAAGAGCTCAAGTTCAAAACGTAAGAAACAGTAGGAGAATCGACAAATCCGGAGATGAAGGGAGATTGTCATCAGAGCTTCTTCAATTTGTATTCCACATCTTTCCTCTTCTTCCCTTTTATCTCATGGCAACTGGAGATTGTTTTCCAAATCACTCATAGAAACACTTGCCTCCAATGAAGGACGAAGATGATCCCATAAGAATCCATATTAGACTTAAAGATAAATAGATCTGAGATGAGATGTTGACGAAGACTCGAGTCAAGTCACCTCTAAAAGTAAAACGTGTGGCTCAGAATTCTGCAAGAATTGGAAACCTTTCCAACGGGATTCTTAAAAATATCAATTTTTTTAATGACGTTTGTGCCCTCTTAAAAATAAAGAATTGTACTTCTTTTTTTGTTACAAAGGAATTGCACTTTTTGTAAAGCTCTATGTATATTATGTATCCGAAGCATTATACAAGGGGAAAATGACATATAAGGATGCTGAAAATGTGATATTTCAAGTTAGTTATTTAAGAGATAAAAACAATGGGGAGGAAAATGGTGTCCAATATGTTATTTTACAAATGTAGTTAAATAACTAAAATATTTTTATATTAAAAATTTTATTAACAAGTTTTGAGTTGACAATGACAAGTATTGAATTGCAAATAGCAAAAAATATGCTGGTAATGTTCACCCAAAAAAAATATACTAGTAATAACAAGTTATTTATTAATAAGTCGTGACAAGAAATGTATTGTCAATGACAAATGTGACAACTTTTTTTTTTTCAAATATGATACAAAGGCATTTAGTCACCTAACTATGTTTGCAAAATATCAAATCAGGTACTACTTCTTTTTCCGTCATATTTAACCCTTAGATGTCTAGATTAGGAAATAATAATTTCAGTATTTTTCCCTTATACAAATTTAAATATATATTTATTATTTTGATAAAATTAAAGAAAATCATATAAGCGCAAATTCTCTCTCTAGTAGAGGGAGAGAGATAACATTCTTTTAATAAAGTAAAAATAAAAATAAATTATTTCTATGAGTCATCGTGTTAGTCGAGGTTCAATGCGATTTATGTTTGGATTGATTTTTATAAAAGTTAGTTTGTAAGCTAAAAAAATTGTTTGGATTATAATTAAATAAGTAAGTTCAGTTTGTAGAATGACCAAAATCGGTATGACTTTTATTAAATAATAAAAAATATGAATTTACAAAATATAATAATTTTAAAATATTATAATTGGAAAATTTTATATTTAATTATTAAAATATATTTAAATTAGAAATCATAGTAATGTAAAATTTTTTAAACCAAATAATATTACTCATCCAGTCCTAAATATAAAACCCTTTTTGTAATATTCTTTTGTAGTGTAAATTATATTACAGAAAGGGTTTTATATTTAGGACCGGAGGAGTACATAATTACTTGGATGATATACTCTCCATAATTTATGTAAATATAAAATGAAAAATAATATTAAAAATTAAAATATTATAAAAACTGTTAAAATTATTTTTACTCAAGAGAATATTAAAAAGAAATAACTAAAAGCTTATTGGGAGGCACAAAGAATCTACAGAGAGAAGCATAAGAATAACACAAACATAAGGGTAAAAATATCTTTTAATTTCAAAAAGCTACTTTTACATAAGTCATAAGTAAGTCTTAGATGCTTTTATAATTGTATTTAAAAAGAAACTTTTGACCCACAAACCAGATTGACAAAAAATTGTGACAAACAAATCTTAAATTTGCAAACTGACTTATCACATCTATAAGTTACTTTTTCCCCTCCAAACGCCTTACCAAAGCCAACGAGGTTGCATAGCAATTTAAAATCATGTGAGAATGTTCAAGAATCTTCTTGTAGCATTGTGCTGTTATGTGAATACAAGCTGGTTTTAGAGTTTTAAGGAATGAATGAATTGTGTGATTTTGATAAGATTAGCTAAGTAATCAATATTTAAGAAATATACCTTTTTTAAATATGCCAAAACGAGAGGATAAATGAGCAAGAGAGAGAAATGGTGAAAAAATGTGAAAGAGAATATATAAGGAAAAAGATAATGAGAGAGAATATAATTAATTAGCTGTAATATGGTAAAAATATATTTAATATTCAGACAACTCGAAAAAATGTCTTATAAAAACAATGAAACCAACTCAAAAATTAGGATATTATAAAAAGGATGGAATGAAGTATTGTTAAATTTTGTTAGAAGTGGTGTTAATATCTTACAATAAAATGTATGTTTCCAAAATAAAAATGGCATCTATATAATTAAGGTAAAATAAAAAAGTGGTTTTATTTATCACTATATTCATATTTATTACCTTCATAAAAAAGACATTTTAATGAATTATTAATTATAAAATAAATCAATTTGTAAATTTCATTATTCTCTTCATTAAACATATCTGTTTACTTAGTAATTACTTATTACATCATTGGTTAACTCTCGAACTTATATTCCTGAAAATATAACATCGTCCTTTACAAAAATATTAACTAATTTTCACTTTACAAAGACAAAAAAATTAATTAAAATTTGAGTAGTCTTTTAACAAATATAAATTTGAAAATAATTATTTAAAGATATTAAATTATATGAAGAGAACAAATTGTTTGTAAGGTTAAAAAAGTAAAAAGTAATTAATATATAATCTTATTAGGCGGTTAATAAATGATGTAATAATTAATTACAGGTAAATAGGTACTTTCAATTAATAGAATAATGAAATTTACACATTGACTTATTTCAAAATTAATGATTCATAAAACTATATTTATTTTTTGTGTAAGACTGTATGTAAGATGTCTGATTATAGGGACAAATATATTATCGTGAAAAATATTTTCTTATGTATTTGATAATATTTAGTGATAATTAATCAGAAAATAATTAAATATATGCTTTTGACTTTTGAGAACATAAAGTAAGCACTCTTAGAAACACAGCGCCACAGTATTATCAATATATAAATAAATTATATATATATATATATATATGATCATTAATCACACAACCCATATAACATTGGATAAAAATTTCCTCGGCAAAGTGTACATATTTGATATTTCTACTGAAAATTGATGGGTCAAATGAATTAGGATTTGCTCCTTTAAATAAGGCTTTAGGTTCAAGCAATGGAATAGCCTATAACAACACAAGGAGCACCTATGAATATATCTAGTTCAATCTAAATTACTCAGGGCTGAATATGATTTCTAAAATTTTTTTAGGACATATTGTCTAACGAATCCTCATCATATAAAAACACTTCAAAACTGAACTCATAAGAACAATTTTAAAAATAAATTGAGAACATAGGCAGTACATGTTGAATTTTGTCAACTTTTCTCAGCCATCTCTTAACCTGGGATGTTCTTTACATCTGTCCTGTGTTCTTAGCTTCATCAACTCTTGTCCTCAAATCCTCTTTCATGCTTTGAAGAGCTTCCCATTTGTCTTCCGGTAACTCCAAACTCTCTTCCAATTTAAGAATATAATCAGCTTCGGTCTTGGCACAACCTCACAAACACTTGGTAATGTCCCATACGATTACCATAACTTGATCCATATCTTCCAAACAATGCTAAGATTTTGTTCTTCAATCACACAACAAAGTAGTGGACATGTTGCTTAGAGCAATTTCTTTTTCTGGAAAAAAACGCTATTTGTATTGTATGTGTTGTGCATTTGAAAGTAAAAACAGCAAAGTCCTGGAAATAAAGCTACATCAAGAAAACCAGCTGCAAGTCTGTAAAAATAAATCAAGACCTTACGATTAATAAATAACGTGAATATAATCTTAACCCCAAACCAGGCATCTTTCTGCTGTTTCTTTCAAAAACTTACTACTTGTTGAAGGCTTGCATGCTGTATTACCAAATACGAACTGTCTAATGATCATTTCATCTAATACAGGTCCATCGAAAAAGTTGATTCGACACACAAATTTCTACTCTTTAGGACACGTTGATCCAGAAACCAGAGTTTAAAAGCATCAAAATGCCAAAAGCAAGGAGATCGATGATATACCTCGTATTCTTTATGATCAGCCTTGAGTTTCTTCAAAGGCTTGGCTTTTCCACCTACACACCCAAATATATTAATCATAGACGAAAACAAAATCAAGGTTCTAGTTAACAGATCAAAACATGATGGTTTCATAGATCGAAAATAATGGGGAAGAGATCAAGTTCAAAGCATAAGAAGAACCAGTAGTGGAACTGGAGAATCAGGAGATTAATCTCCGTCGACCGTGATAGAAAAAAGTGCTGCCTTGCTAGCTAAGACCAAATTCCTCTCTTGAGATCGAGTCAACAGTCCAGATTAAACTTGTTTCCCTCCTTCATATGAGATGATTAAAGGTCTCCTTCAATTCTGGAATACGCGTTGCTCCATGTTGCAGTCTGATGAAGTTCACAAGCTAATTACTGGGGAGGTTCTCAAATCCATCGCTCAGATAATGCAATATAAGAGCTAGTTGACTAATTTGAATAGATTAAAGAAATTTGTTAAGTTAGTTATTTGTAATAAATACTCCTTCGGTCCTTAATATAAGACCTATTTAACTAATTTAATTAGATTATAGAAGACAAATAAGTTAGTTAATTATAAAAAATATGATATGTTTTTCTTAAAATACCATAATCATCTTCCTTAATATCTTCTCTCCTTTACTTACTTTATTATGGTTGAGAAAATATCAATAACGGTAATTTAGGTCTTATATTTAGAACCAAAATCAACTCAATAATTAGATCTTATATATATTAAGGACTGGAGGAGTAGGTGTTATCTTTCTTAAAATACTATTGCTGAACATGTATATTAGCTAGAACTACTATTTGATGGAACCTTTAATATGTGCAATTATTACAAAAACTACTTTGAAAAAAATGAACAAATATGAGAGATAAAATGATTTAGGATCAAATAAATATCAACTAGCTCTTGTATTAAGAACTAGAGGTAGTATTAGAGTACCTGAAAACTAAAACAAATCTCGTTTTGGCCTTGGATGAAAATAATTATGCGCAAATTTCTTATATTAATGAATGTTATATTTCCAAAAAAAAAAGATTAAAAGTTGAGTCTCGTAATCAATTCAGACAATCGCAAGAGAGTGTCATAGGTCTCATATTGATAAGAATGACCAACAAAATTTAAATATTTGATTAAAGTAAAAAACATGTGATTAGAGAGATCATGAGTAAAACAGTGTAATTAAAGGTGGGCGTAATTTAAGGTGATTGAATTTTAATCAATATTATAATGAGCATCAACGGGAGAGACGTTGATGAGTCACCATTAAATTAAATATAAATTAAGAAGAATTATTATGATCAAAATTCAAAAGCGATGAGTGCGCCGTCTTCAATTTGCTCATGGAGCATAACCAAATTAACTACTCCTCCAATCCTTAATATAAGACTCATTTAACTAATTTGATTAGATTAAGAAAGTAGTTTAATTATAAGAAATGTGATACGTTTTTTCTAAAATATTATAATCATCTTTCTTAATACCTCTCTTCCTCCTTTACTTGATTATGGTTGAGGGAATATCCATCGGGATAATATATAGAGAAATTAATAAATATGAGAAATAGGTCTTATATTTAGGATCAATACTAACTCAATAATCAGGTCTTATATTAAGGAGTGGATGAATATTTTTCTAATCATATTTATAAGACCCATCATAATAATTCTTAGCGTGCGATCCTTTATCAGAATTAATAAAATAATTATGATTCATTTTCGAGGCACCTTTATAAAAAGAGGAGCAGGAAGCTCTGAAAAGCATAAGAAGAAACAAAGAAGATCAAAAGGTCGAGATGGGTCATACGACTAGTACCAACTGACATAAAAAGGTCAGTCTGATTAAATAAAATAAAAAAGGATCTGAAACAAAACGCCCATATATTAATGGGCTTGTGTTGGGCTTAGGCTTTTTCAGTTAACTGCAAACTGGGCCACCTTTCAAAGCCCAACTCCAGTACTGATTTTCAAACTCTAGGTTATAGGCTGCTTATTGAGCCCAATACTTATTATCACAAAGGAAGATATTTTGGAGGGACTTCATCAGATCAGTCCTACCTCTCAATTTCTATTTGTTTGTTACTTAGTAAAACACATCAAACAATTCAAAATTGACATTTTTTTAATTTTCTATATTTATTTACTATTAAATAATTCATCCATAGTCATAGCCGCCTAGAATGCCACGAGGGTATCAGCACCACCTCTCCAAAAGAGAGAGGGTTGCCACTTTTACGATTCCTAATATAATTTAATTTTATATAGGAATATTTAAGAGAATGATGTTATATTTGTTAAATTATTTATTATTTATTTATTTTTCAATATACTTAAATTATTTAAGTAGTCTTACTAAAAGAAAAAAAAAAAAGGTTAAGCTTTTTGTCATTATGTTGAACTCCAAATGAACTGGTGCAGTTGCTTGGCTTTCACTTTTTAGTTAATAATAATGATAATTATTTGCGTTGTTGACCTCCTACATCTAAGGACAACGCATATGAAAGTATTATATCTTAATAACATCTTATTACTTTCTTTTCTTTTTTTTAATCACATTACCAAGTATCAGAACAATTGATTAATTCTATTCGGGATTCACGGCTTCTCTCCTTACAAAAAATGTCTCATCTAGGACTTAAACTCGAGATTCAAGAGATCTAATAAGGTCATACGCCGCTAGACCAATTTCTTGTTGGTATAACATCTTATTACTTATCATTAGAATCGTTGCTAGCAATGGTAATTACTATAATAATCATAGCAGTCAAATTACTAGTAAAATGAAGAAGAAGCTTTTGCGGGTGATGACAAGAAAAGGAAGAATGTTTGTGTGAGTCTTCCTCTCATCACTCCCTTCTTGTCGCCCAACTTGCAAATAAAGGCTGTGAACATGAAGAAGATTGATTCATCAAAGAAGAGGAAAGACATTGAAGAAGACGAAGGAACCCATGACAGAGAGCCAGGGGTGGAAGAAGAGACGAGATAAAGGGGAGGGGATTTTAATGTTGAATATTAAGACTGAGAAATTAGATACGATTCAAAATTCTAATTAAATTTCAAAAGTGTTTGCAGCAGGTAGCCCCATTTGTGTGAGCCACATGACATAAAGCCCAATAAAGTTATTATGAAAGCCAAATATCCCTTATAAACAGTAAAATGAGTGTGAAGCCAAAATATAAGCCATTGGAGCCATGGTTTGAGGGAATGTTCAGGTAAGAACAAAACCATAGTTTCAGAAATGCTTTTATATTATATGAAGTAATATGTGGAAGAATTTATCTTGATTTAAAAAAAAGTGCTTCTGAAAAGTGATTCTAGGGTTATCCAAACACTTCTAGTGAAAAGTATTAAAAAATATATTGATGATGAATGTGAGTTTTATCATATTTTGTGTCAGTCACGTTTAAATTTTCACAGTGTGACAACTATCCTACAAAACACAATTACTTACTCCCCTCCCCTTCTTCCCAAAAATCCTAAATCAAACAGTGTTTAGGACTTGTTTGATTGTATCATATATTTTTATATTCTTAGAAAAATTCTTTAGAGGAGGTTTTTAGAACAAGTTTTTGAAATAAAAATCTTAAAAAGTCTATTTGAATTATTAGTTTAAAAAAGATGTATAAAGTTGTTAAATAAAACGTGAAAGAATGAATTTTTTATATAAAACATATTACCTTGAATAAAATTAGTGTTTCTCAGCCAATTTCCACTTTATAGACCAAAAGGTAATAAAACATAATTTTTTTTTAATTTTCAGAATAACTTTTACTCCTCTAATCTTTATATAAGACCCATTTAACTAATTTGATGAGATTAAGGAAGTTAGGTAAATCAGTTAATTATAAGAAAAGTAACATATTTTCTAAAACACCATAATCATCTTTTTAATACCTCCTCTTCCTCTTCTACTTGATTATGGTTGAGAGAGTATCATAGAGATAATTTAGAGAAAATTGATAAATATGAGAAATGGGTCTTATATTTAGAACCAAAACTAACTCAATAATTAGATCCTATATTAAAGACTGAAAGAGTAATATTTTTATTTTCATAATATTTAACAAAAAAAATTCAAACATTTATATTAAGGACCGGAAGAGAAATATTGATTTCCCCGTTAAGACAACTCCAATCTTTAATTATTTTTTCCTCATGGCTTTTATATAATACCTTTCATTTGCTTAGATGTTTCCTTTTTTTTTTTTTTACGGAATAGAGATAAAACTTTAAAATTTTCTCAAATACAATTATTCTTGTCCCATTACATTTCTCTGTTCTTTTGTTTTTTTTTTTTTGGCCATCACCACAGTACATCAACATCAATCATCGATCAATGTACATATACAAACTCTTCCACCAAGCCATATCTTCAAGACGGCTAATTCACGGCTATTGATACAATTTACTATTCACAAGTCGATTTAATTAAATATTTTTTTTGGTTTAAAACATAAGCTAAATTTTATCTATTTATATTTATTAAGAAAACTAGTTAAAATCAATTTAAAACAACAAATATGTAAGGTATATATTTTTTTCTCAAAATATGTCCCTATTAATGAATCAAAAAGAAAAAAATATGGGGTAAAATTGAAAAAAAACTTATTAAATATTTATATAAGAATAAACGTTATTTTATTAAAAAAAAATCAAATCCTTTTAATGAAGTTTAGTTTATATTTTAAATTGGAAGAAGTAAATACTACCTCTGGTTCAAAATATCAGCTAAATTTTCTTTAAAAAGTTGGTTTTTTAAATAAGATAACATTTATTTTTGTCCAAGCATTTAATGAATTTTTTTTAATTTTGCCTTAATATATTCTCTTTTTTCTTTAATTTATTTATTGCATCTTTTACTTATTTTCTTCATTAATAAGGATATATTAATAAAAATAAATATATGCCTTATATATTTATTGTTTTAAATTAATTTTAATTAGCTTCCTGATAAACATAAATAAATAAAATTTATTTTATATTTTAAATTGGAGGGAGTATAATTTTTGGGCTGCTTTCAAGCTAAGCAGCATTAATGATGTTTCTGTGGCTCGGACAAATTATTTTTGGGCTTCGTGTAATTCAACTTCGATGATAAATGGTTTGGAGGGGAAACTGATGTTGGGCTTTGTGAAACATTAATAAATTTTGAAATTTAAAATTTGAAATGTGAAATATATTAATTATTCCTTTACTTTTACGAACTCGTACGTGCTTCCCTAGTAGTACATCTCATCTCTCCTACCCGCCACCAGGCATTCATCAATTTCTACTTCCTGCACCCTCTTTCTCTCCGGATTCTTCTTCTCCAGAGTCTTCATCTTCGCGGGCAATCAGTGCTCCCTGATGCATTCAGCTGAGCATCTCTGCTTTCCCTCTCCCCCTCTTCATCTTTTTCGGCTTTCCCTCTGCTGAAATAGGTTTTTTGTTGTTGTAGGAAATCTAAGCTCTTTCGATTTGTCATCGACGGGAATCGTAGGAGGGTGCTACTGTGAAGTTCATGAAGCGCAAAGGGAGAGGCACTGGTTAGGCTTCTTCATCCTCTTTCTGCATCTTAATAATGTTGTCACATTTTATCTATGAGCTGTAAAATACTCTCTCTTATGTTATGAAGAAACACGACAATGTCCTTGCAGTTTCCTTTTCTAATCCTTCTTCAGGTTGAGTTTGCCGACGAGGAAAGATGAGAGGAAAGCAAGTTGGAAAAAAAATTTTATCTCCATTTTCTTCTTTGATTCAGATTTTCCTTTCCTGGTTTCTGAACTACATTCAGCTGGTTGAATATTCATGGGATTTGTATGGTTTTTTTAACATTTTGTTTTGGTTGAAGCATATGTATGTATGAATCCTTCTGAAATTTCTTGAAAGTTACAAGTGGTTTGATGAAGATTTGATATAATAATTTTACGGTTTTAATAATTTTAGCCGTTTTTTTTTTTTCTGGGTTTCTCTGCTCCATTGGGCAAGGAAGAAGAAATAATGAAAAGGAGACTTTTTGGCAAAGGCATTGGAGAAGCTACATTACTTTTTGATTTTTAGGGAGAAGAACTTACTTTGGTTAACATAGGCATTTGGGCTTGCTTTGAAAAAAAATTATTGCTTAGCAGTAGCAGAAAGGGTTTCCTTTTTTCTGCAATCCCTCACCGAATCGAGGTGTTGTAATTATGAATGTAAATGACCATGTCAGGAGGAAATGGGAAAAAAGCACCTGCAAGCTGCAACATGATTAAAAAAAAAAAAAAAGAAGCAAGAACCTGCATTAATTTAGATTATATTGTTATATGTGATTGTGTTCTCTGTGTTTTTGTTGATTTTATTTATATTTAGGTGTGAAAAAGCAGGAGACCTTTCAATCATCTCAAGAAGACTTCAGATCAGCTTTTCTTTATGGTTTTGCGTGGAAAGTGATCAAAGTTTCCACAACAAGTTGCACCAATAGTTGTCGGTAATTTAATTACCCCAGCCCATTTAGATTTATAACCATAAGATTTTTATACTTTTATTTTGAATTGAACGTAATATCTTCAGTCTTTTGTCTTTGATTTCAAATTTATTTATTTCAAGTAGATATGTTCCCTCATATTGATGTTTACGTCTCTGTTAAAATTACTTTTTTTAATTCTTACTTGCACTTATTTTAAATACATATCCGCTTTGACATGTTTTCTAATGTATGTTCACTGTTATATGAGATTTTGTACTCTTTTGGAGGCTGACATGTATTTTATATTTTGTATATTGATATCGGTACTTGTATCATCAAATATGATTTGATCTTGCCTCTAATTGTGTGTTTTGACATAGGGGATGATTGAACTAAGAGTGATATTGTATTATCTGCTGGGTGAAAGAGTAACCATTGGATTTAGAGATCTCAAGAAGGAAAATTGCAGGCTGCACTTTGTAAAAGAGTGTGCTTCTTTGTCCTGGATTTAAATAATGAGAAGAGAATTTCTCTATTAATGAATCATGGATAAAGAACATACTCCTAAACTCATACATGCAACTAAGCATTCTATTATGCTCTTGAAGTAAAAATGCAAAAACATTACGGACTAACAGTTGAAATTGGAGAAAGGTGGGCAAAAATAAAGTTTGTTGTTTCTTTGTGACTGTGAATTGATAATCATTATTAAGATTCATTACTTCATTCCGTAGTTTTTGAAGTTAGATTATTATGATCAGTAAAGAATTGCTGGGGATTGTAGTGTGAAAACTTTAGAGCATGTTTAAGATTTGTTTTACAGTTGTTTTGTTTTAAATAACTTCATGCTATAGCTGTTGAAGTTAGATTAATAATTAAGGAAACCAATGAGTGGAAAATATTTGGAGCAAGGATTGAGAGGCGCTCTTTGCTCTAAATTTTAACAGCATATGTGGAAGAGAAGATTAACGCTTTCCATTCCATAACCTCAGTAATCAAATTTTTCATAATAGCATTAATTTGCCTCAAGAGTTGTGCTGTGTCGACATGAAGCTCTTGCACATTGCATTCTTTGGTTGCAGGGAAGGAATATAATTGTAAGATGCAGATTTCCGCTAAGGTAATAAAGAGAGTTGCGAGTGGAGTTAATTTTAATGCTCATTGGAAAAGAAGGAAGATTTCACATTGTGATGTTGGTATAGGCACAAATGAGGCAGAGGTTTTTTTTTTTTTTTGGGGCAGATGGCTAATGTCATCTGCCGGTTTTGGACTGTTTCTGTTCAGTATTTATTTGGAATTTACCTCTTAGAATATGAACTTTCAAACTTTCAAAGGAGGAATTCACTATTGTAATATTTTGGATATAGCTTATAATACAGCAAGTATGGATATATCGTAATGTTATTTTTCCTATGAGCTCTGCATCTGATAAGCTCCACAAAGTTGAGTATTTTGTTTGCCATCTTAATCTGATAAGCTTCACCTTAGAAATTTATTGGCGCTGGGTATGAATAAAAGCGGTTTGATTCACTACATTTTTTTAAAAATTTATTTATCCTGAGCAATTTACTCTCTCGGGTCATGTATTGCCACTTTAGCTTCTGAGAGGTGGCTTCTTTTTTTTTTTTTTCAAATAAGTAGGCAAACAAAGCTGGCAAGTTGAATAAAGAAGGCAAAAATATAATTCCAAAGTATAAGAAATTGGCAAGGCGTGAAGACAAAAATGTAGTCTTTAATATGTTATGGAATTAAATATTGTAGCTTTGCAAGAAAAAAGCAATGGTTTTGGAAGATAGGAAAGATTGATAGTTTTGGCCATGCACACCTCACAATTACCTAATACCTAATATAAGAGCAAAAGGTTGAGAAGATATATTATATATAAATGAAAAGAAAGCAGAAGAGGAATGCATTTGACCTTTATTTATTAAAAAATTAGGCCCCAAAAAAAAGAAAAAAGAATGCATATACACGATGGAACATGTCTATGTTCTCCTGGATTATTGTTATTTTCTTGTGCATCTTCCCATTACATTGTGTAAGTGACAGAGAGAGAGACAAGGAAATTTTTCACTGATGACAATTCTTTCATATGTGTTAAAAGGAGAAAGACCTGGTTATGTTTGTTCTATTCATGTTTCTCAATTTTGGATTCATGATTGTATTATTATACTTTTTTCTGATCAATTTTGCAGGATATGGTTTCTACATTTGAAGTCAATTGATTAAAACATTTCAAATCACTGATTGAATGGAAAATGTTCAAAATGATCTCTCATGTGATATGAAATCTACTTCTCAAAATACTTGACCAATACAATGCAAGGAAAAAAAAGGCTTGAGCAATTAAAACTTAAACTCTAGATTTATATGCTCCCTGTGCAATGCATGGAGGAGTACATGCTGGTTTCTCTAATGTTTAAGGAATGTGGAAATATGAATAACAAAATTATATGGAGTGTCAATATTTACAAAAAGAGATCAAAATAATGAAAAGCAAGGCTGCATACGGAACCTTAAAATAAAAAAGATTTCTCTACAGTATTTTCTTTTAAATTTTCAAAGCAAATATGGTGAAATAATTAATTATATTATATGCTAACTGACAAGAGAAAAGTCAAAATAACTGAATAATAATAATAAAGGTTATAAGACAAAGCACACATGTATGATTATTAATCAAGAAAAATTACATGCAAGAAATCAAACGCAAAGAAAAAAGGAGCAACATTAGCATGCCATAGGTGCCCGATACAGAGCAAAGAACCGATGTCCTGGAATAAACAAGTGATAATTAACATATTATTCATAGATTCTTGACTAACCGCAAACCAGACATCTTTATGCGCTGTCTCATCAATTTATCTGTCAAACACAATTGCTTGAGGTTCAGTCCGAATCCAAAAGCGAGAGGGAGGAGTTCCCTTGAGGCTTGAGCCTTGACCTTACCCCCTCCCAGGCTCCCACAATTGCCTTACACGAGTTTTTCTGTCGCTTATCATATTGTGCCAACGGCAAAAGGCGCAAGCAGCAGCCCACTTTTCGTTCAGCAACTGAAAATTTCTTCACATACGATGCACGACTAAAATATTTAATTAGATTTTAAATTTTAATCAATTGATATACTATTTAATTATGATATTTTTTATTCAAATCTCAATTAAAATATTATTCAAATTTAAAATTAATTGTTAGTTCATTTATTTGAACCTCCAATTGAAATTCTATTTAATAATGATATTCCTCTTTTAATATAATATACCCAAGTTTTAAGCGAAGTATTATTTAAATCTCATTAATTAAATATATTCAGATATTATAATGTTATATCCAACCCGTTTTTGAATAAATAGAGCATCACGAGTTTTTAAGAATATAGTTAATAGTACGAAAACAAATAAATAAATTTTATCCGAAAAAATAAACAAGTAATTTTTTTTTGGCCAATGAAATAAGTAAATAAATAAACGAATAGTAAAATGATTTAAATAAAAAGATTCTGTCCCTCAAAAATTATATTCATGCTTGAATAAAAAGAGAACGTAATGGCAATTTGATAAAAAAATGGGAATAATTTGTAAGATGCCAGAAATCCACAGTTAATTTTTAATTAGATGAGGCTTTGGGAACAAAATAACTAGCCACGTTAATTTTATGCTAAGGACGATAGCAGCTGAGATGACAATGTTTTATTAAAAAATGAGATAATAATTACTAAGTTGATAGTCTTTTTATGAGATACCATTAAAAAAAAAGTTAGGGCAATAATAGAGCTTTGCTTCTTTAAGTTTATATAATGTTACAGTTTAATTCCTGAATGTTAAAAGGTATCTTTTTAATCTTTTAATCCTAATACCCTGAGTTTCATATAATTATTTTTTTATAACGAACAATGATTTTTCAAACTGATACTTTGAATAAATATGAGGAAGGAGGTTATTCGCACGTGGTCCCTTAATTTTACGGATAAATATTATAATAAAATTATATGGAGTGGGAATAAATACAAAGAGAGAGATTGTGCCAAAAACCAAACCTTAAATAAAAAAGATTTCTCTCCGCAGTCTTTGCCTTTAAATGTTCAAAGCAAATGGTGAAATAGTTTATCAAACTATGCTAACTGACATGAAAAAGGTCAAGCTCATTAACTGAAAAAAAAGAATAAAGGATATAAAAACACACAGAATAGGCGTATATGATTATCATTAATGGAATACTAATAAATCATACAAACAATACATGGATTGTTTTATTTTTGAGTCTAAAAGCTCAGCCACATACTTATATAATGTAAGGTCAGTCGGAGAAAGAAAGCTAATGAAAACCAATGATCATTGCTCTCGATGGTAAAACCAATCTGCAACATGTACAGGTATAATTGATATTGTAAGCAATAATTATTACACATGAAAGTAAAAAAAGTTGAAATGTATATTTATGCTATAAATAATGTAGTGAACCTTCAGTCGTCTCTCACAAATTAAAAGGAAGGTTTGAACTTTGATTGGAATTTGTGCTTTGCTGCGGGGTCATCCCATTCCAACTTGTCCCACCAATCTTGAGGTCCACTGATATCTATCAACTTATGTTTGGCAGAGTTGGAATCAAGTGGTAACTTGTTCAGCTTTCGACACCAGACTATCGTAATGGATCTGAGGGAAGGAAAAGGTAAGGGTGCCTTGTGAATGCTCTGAAGTCTTGGTAAGTCATACAAATACAATGTGACAAGAGAGGAGAATATAGAAGAAGAAGAATCCACATTCTCATTATTCTTTATTGAGTAGTCTTCATCATCTTCTTCTTCTCTTATCACTTCTTCCACTGAGTCACAATCAGAAATCTCAAGTTCTTGAAGGAGCGGAGCATACTTGAGCCATGTCGCATGAGTTACAGAACATGCACCAATTGTCACACTTCGGAGCTTGGTTAGACAACCTGTGTCAAAAACAAAAGAATATTGCTCTCTTCTAATCTTCAACAATTCGAGATGAAATTCCCGTAGCTGCTTCATTTTTGACAAGGATGCAAATGATAAAGGCATCTCATCATTCTCGTTGGAGATGCCACTCCAAAGGCTGTATATGCAACTTTGCAATTTGGTTGACTCCAATAATTTCTTCAGACCATCTTTTCTCCATATTTCTATGCGTAATTCCTCAATATTTGGTAGGCACTCCAGCTCTTCTAAAATACCTCTCTCTTCTGAATATTTTATCCTGAACAGTCTAACCACTCTTAATTGTTGAAGGCTAGACAGCACTCCCAATGGAAAAGATCTTGTGTATGCATGCAAGCTAAGAAGCTTTAAATTTGTCAAATACCGCAAGTTATTCAAAAACTCTGGTTTTAGAATATCAGTGAATACAGAAAGATATTCCAAAGAAACTAGACCCCCAATGTTGCTAAATGAGGTTCCCCTGACTTTTATGTCCAAGACTTTCAATCTCTTCATATATTTAATATCTTCTAGATGTGAGGCATGATTTCTTTTCAATAAAACTACTGTTGTGGCATTTGGAGGATCCCGGATTTTTTGTGATTCCCAATAATTCATGATTGAGACCCTTTGCATAAATTCCACATTCTCTTGATCATGTGCTATCCAAAGTGCCATGTCACGGATCATATCATGCATTTTAATTGTACGGTCCATATAAAGATCATCTTCGCCACTTTCTAACAAGCACAAAAGCTTAAACTTTTCAATAATAGACTCACCATGACCATACATATCTTGCACACTCTTTGTCATATCTTTATAAAGAAATTTCTCCAACATCCATCTGTCGATGAGATGGAGAACTCGAATCTCACAATCTTCCGGGTACAATGCACAATACAAGAAGCAACGCTTTTGCACCTCATCCAATCGATCATAGCTAAATTTAAGGACGGAGAATACTTTCTTCTCCAAATCCGGTGCAGTTAGTGAAGAACTTGTTAAGTTCTTTGTTGAATGTTCCCAAGCCTCCACACTCTTCACTCCAGCCATGGCACTTCCTACCACAATCAACGCAAGTGGTAACCTTTTACATTCCTTAGCCATCTTCTTTGCAAGCTTTGGAATACTAGGGTTTGACCTCAAAGTGTCATCACCAACTTTCATATAGAATAACTTTGTCGCTTCTTCCTCTGTCAAAGTTTCTACCTTGAATGTTCTTTCAGCTTGCATTTTTGTGCACACATTTTCTGATCGAGTTGTAAATAACACTTTGGATTGAAAATTAGTTTTCCCTGGACGTGGCACTCCCACCAAGCTCAAGTCCATTTCATCCCACATGTCATCCACTAATAAGGCAAATTTCTTTTGCTTGAGGACCCTATAAATCTTTGCTGCTTTTTCATCTTGATTACTACAGCCATTCCAACTGCTATCCTCGATCCTAACCAATTTTCTAATATTATCCATAATACTATCCAAGTTGGGCTCTTTTGACACCACGACCCACATCACAAAATCAAATTCTTGCCTCCTCTTCCCAAGTTCATTGTTAATTCTCTTTAACAAGGTAGTCTTCCCCACCCCACCCATTCCATGTAAACCAATGATGCCAACATTCTCTTCTTCAATGCTCTTCCATACCTCATTAAACATCAAATCTAATCCCACTACTTCGTCTTGAGGCATCTCAATTGGCTCGGGTGGTATTGTGTGAGCAATTTTAAAATTTTTGCTAAACCTTTTGCCCTCTGTTGCTAGCTGATCTACATTCTCTAGCATCTTAGCAGCTTTTTTGCCTACCTTGTGGCTTGACTTACAATTCTTTGGGCAATATTTACCTAGACATCTTTCTTGCATTACTTTGACTCCTTCAACTTGAATGACTGTTATTTCCTGTGTTAGGTATGTATAAATTACAGTCTAAGCATATTACTTACAGCCTTACACAAAAAATAAATATAATTTTATGAATTATAAATTATGAAATAAATCAATTTGTAAATTTGATTATTCTATTAATTGAACATATCTATTTACGTAGTAATGAACTGTAACATCATTTATCAACAGTCAAATAACATTATAAAACGATTTGTTCCATGCATATATTTTAATAATTTCATATTTTTTTAAAAATTACACAAAGTCTTATCAATTTCTTATTTTTGTAAAGTTAAAATTACTAAATATTTTTAAAAAATTTACTAAAGGTATTATACAGATAATCAGTAAATATTAAAGGGAAAACTATATTGGAGGTACTTATACTTTTTTTCAATTTTCAATTTGATACCTATGTGTTTTTTGTTCTTAACTAAATATTTAATTTTGCTCTATTAACATCATTAATCCTTATGTAGAGACTAAAAATATCAATAGAACAAAGTTATAAGAGCTAATGTTGCTAAAAAGATAAAATTAAATGTTTAATTAAAGGAAAAAAAACATATAGGTACCAACTTAAAAATTGAGAGAAAGTATAGGTACCTTCAATATGGTTTTCCCGATATTAAATAAACTATTAAGATATGAATTAGAAATTTATTTTGATGGGGGAACAAGTTTTAAATAAGATTAATTCTAAATTTCTAATATAGTTTCAAATATCCTTTTAGTTTTATTTGAGGCTCTTAATATGTTAAACTAAAATGTATGTTTTGAAAATCAAAGAAGAGTTTAATAATTAAGGTAGTCATAGACGTGGGAAGATTTATCACTATAATAATAATTTTTATTACTTTCACCAAAAAATACAAACATTTTTGTGAATAATTAATTATAAAATAAATTAATATGTAAATTTCGTTATTCTATAAATTAAACATATCTATTTACTTAGTAATTAATTATTACATCATTGATCAACTGTCTATTTTATATTACTGAAAATATAACATCATCCTTTTTTTTTGGCGGTGAAAATATAAGGCACTGATTTTCCCTCCATCAATTGGGGAAAAAACTTATGATGAACTATCATTAGAAAATATTTAAAATATCCTTGACCTCTCTTCAATTCTACTCAAATTATATAAGTCTTCCCTCTAATTTTAATATACTGAAACACCATTAAAATATTCTATTAAAGATTCTAAAATACAATTTTATTAATTGACAATTATGTTAAAAATTTAAAATTCTTAATTTATCCTCATAATCTAATTGTTTGGCACTGTCTCTCCAATTCAAATCATTTTAATTATAGATATAAAATATTTAAATAGTGTTTATAAAATATTATAGTAAAACTTATTAAAATATAGAGTAAAAATGAACCAAAAAATGAAAAAATTTATTGACCAATTTGTGCCTTGTTTTATTAAATTCCTAAAAAGATACCTCATTTGTTTTTTGTATATACATGCCTGAAAGATTTGTTAGGGCAACATATGAGTCTAAACATTAAAAAAGAAATTGAAATTATTTTTTAAATGCTATCGAAAAACGTTTTTTAAAAAATAAATTTTCAATAAATATTTCAGTTTTTTTGGTCAAACAATAAATATTTATGTTAACTAGGAATATCTTAGTCCAAATCTGTTGATTTAAAGATCGATTAATATGGGCGAATGGAAATGAAATATTCAAAATATATAGGGTTTTTTGTATCATGTGACTTTTAATTTCAGTGGAAGTTTGTGTAGACATGTTCATTTATATGGGAAGAATGATCTCGTAGCCTTATGTTGTGGCTGGTCCAAAAAAAAAAAAAAAAAAGCCTTATGTTGTGATGTGGATACAAGCGGATTTTACATTTTCAAGTCTTTCAAAATCAATTTAATTTCCTTCCATTACGTTTCTTGTTTCCCCTCTCTGATGACTGGTGCCTATTCTAAACTTTCTAAATTTTTTACTACAGTCTATCTCAGTCCTAAATATAAGAGTTAATTAGAAATTCAATTTAGTTATTAATATAATTTCTCAATCCACTTTATCTTTTATATTTATTTATTGTTTCCTAAAGTAATCATCATGTTGATTGCACATAATAAATTTTTTTTATTCTAATACACATAATTAACAAGAGTATTTAAAAAAATACATTCATTTATTACAAATAATAAATTTATCTTATTTTCTTAATATTTGCAAACTAATAATCTAGCTCTTATATTAAAAAATCTAAACGTTATCTATCAACTAAATGCTTTAAAATTGAACTAAAAAGGAAATTCTTAAAAGAAATCAAGAATAGGTTGGATGGGCAGTACCTGTTGAATGTTGTCAGCTTTTTTCAGCCATCTATCGACTTCATGTGTTCTTTGCATATGTCCTGTGTTCTCAGCGTCATCAACTCTTGTCTTCAAATCCTCTTTCATGCTTCGAAGATCTTCCCATTTCTCTTCCAGTAACTCCAAATTCTCTCCCAATCTTCGAATATAATCAGCTTCTTTCTTGGCACCAACACAAGAACACTTGGTAATGTCCCATATGATTGCCCCAACTACATCCATATCTTCAAAACAATGCTAAGCTTTCGTTCCTCCAAAATCACGCAGCAAAGTAGTGGACATGTTAATCAGAGCAATTTCTTTTTCTGCAAAAAAGAAAATTGCTCTCAAAGTAAAAACAACAGAGGGCTGGAAATAAATCAAGACCTCACAATTAATAAATAACATGAATCTTAACTAATTAACCCCAAACCAGACATCTTTCTGCCGTTTCTTCCAAAAACTTACTACTTTTCGAAGGCTTACCGTATTACGAACTGTCTAATGATCATTTCATCTAATACAGGTCCATCGAAAAAGTTGAATTGGAACACAAATTTCTATTTGTGTTAGCCAAGGTGATATACAAACCATAGTTTAAAACCAGCAATATCCCAAAAGGAGGTGGATGAGATACCTCAGCGTATTCTTTCTGATCAACCTTGGGCTTCTTCAAAGGCTTGGTTTTTCCACCAACAAACCCAAATATTAATCATAGACGAAAACAAATTCGAGGTTCTAGTTAACAGATCAAAACATGAGGGTTTCATAGATTGAAAATAAGGGGGAAGAGCTCAAGTTCAAAACACAAGAAGAACCAGTTGGGGAATCGGAGAATCAGGAGATCAATCTCCATTGACCGAGATCGGGGAAAGTGTTACCTTGCTAGCTAGGACCAAATTCCTCTCTTCAGATCGAGTCAACAGTCCAGATTCTAAACCATCGAGATTCCTATGGCCAAACTTTATTTTGAGATGAACATATCTGAGATGAGATGTTGAGGAAGACTCAAATCAGACCGAACTTGTTTTCCTCCTTCATATGTGATGATTAAATGTCTACTTCAATTTTGGAAGACGCGTTGCTCCATGTTAGAGTCAAGTCAACTCTCGAACTTTTTCTGACAGAAGTTGTTTCTAACATTGCCATGATCAAAATTCAAAAGTGATGATGCTCTTTTTGAATTTGTTTGACATATAGGTGGCCCACTCGCTCTTCTAACAACGCAATTCATAATAATTCTTTTTAATTTATACTAGTATGTATAGGAGTCTTGTATTTAGGACCGGAGGAGTATTAATAATATGATGTGTGCGCTGTGTTGAATTTGTTCATGGAATATAATCAAATCAACTACTTTTTGAGTCATATTTATAAGATCCATCGTAATGATTCTTAATGTAAAAGAAGAAGAATTAAATTAAATTAAGCAAGTGGGCAACACGGTGATGAGTCACAATTAAATTTAATATAAATTAAGAAGAATTATCATGATCAAAAGTGAGGATGCTCTTTTTGAATTTGTTTGACACATACGTGGCTCACTTACTCTTTTAAGAACGCAATTCATTATGCATCAGTTACATTATGGCCGACAGGGAAGGAAAAAAATCAGAGCTTTAAAGATAGATTTGTCAAAAGCTTTTGATAAACTGTCCTAGAATTTCATTACAGCTGTGATGACTAGGATGAACTTCTCTAAGAAATGGATTAATCTCATTCAACAATGCATCTCCACAGTCCAGTATTAAATATTCTTCAATGGACAACTTACTAATCCGATTCTTCCTATCAAGGGTTCAAGGCGAGGTGATCCCCTCTCACCTTATCTTTTATTCTTGCAATTAATGTCCTCTCATGCATGATCAATTATTTGGTGGAATCCACCAATCAAAGGAAAGGAGTTAAAATTTGTTCTGAAGCTCAAGCTACTTCCCATCTCTTTTATGCTAATAGCTTATTCTTTTTTTGAGTTCCCTGAACAAAATCTGGCTGGGGTCAAGCATGTTCTAAAATCTTATTGTCATCTTTCTGGACAATATCTTGGTACTTGGATTCATTCAGGAAGAGAAAAGAACATCATCTACAATCAAGTGATACAATCCATAGAGAAAAGGACTTGTGCTTTGAAAGAAAGAATTGTATCTCAAGCAGCGAGACTAACTTTAGTCAAATCCATCCTCTTAACTACTAATCTTCATGTTCAATCTTATAAAAGTTGCCGACGTATATATGTGACAAAATTGACTCAAGATGTATTATTTTCTTCTAGGGATCCACTAGTGACAGAAAGAAAATTCATCTCTTAAATACAAATATCTTATTTCTTCCAACTGATTAAGAAGGTTTGGGGTTGAGGCCTACCGGCTGCATAAATGATGCTATGATAGCCAAACAGGTCTGTCATGTTCTATCTGCAGAAAGTAATTCCCTTTTGTCCAGGACTCTTAAGGTTAAATACTTTGATCTCAACTCTGAATCTTTGGTCAAAAAGCCCTATAGTACCTCTTGGATGTGGAAAGGAATTCTACAGAATGCCAACATTATTTTAGAGAATCTGAGGTGGCAAGTAGGCAATGAAGCTTCTATTAATTTAAACCACCTTCTTCGGTGGCCTATGCATCAAAATTCTACTCACATGATGAACCTAACTCATGTAGCAGATCTTTTACTGCATACTCGTTTTCCTTAGAATCCAGTCAAATGGAACCCGCCTTTACTTCATCTTTTATACCCAGCTCACATTTTAAAAGCCATCTCAGAAATTCCTCCTTCAGTCTCTAATAATGTTGAGGAATGTCTCACATGACCAGAAATTCATTTGGCCGTTATCAAGTTAAAGACGGTCATACCTTGCTCCTCCAATCTTACAATCCAGTTAGAGCTAATGTGGACCCATTTTGAAAATTTCTTTGGCCTATTGCTCGCCCATATGAACAGCTCCTACTCATTTGCAAGCTAGTGCACAAAGCTTTGCCACTCACTGATATTTTGCAAAAACATCATCTGCAAGTTTCTAGTCTTTGTCCTGTTGGATACGATATGGAAGAGACTACGGAACAAGTGTTCATTCAATGCCCTGATGTCAAAACACTATGGTTCGGCTGTGTCAATAAAAGACTTACACTGTGTCAATAAAAGACTTACAAATATTGGTTTTATGATCTTTATTCATTAGTTCAAAATCAATTTGCAACAATTAATAATGATGGTTTCTATACAGTGGTTAAGAGCATCATCATCCTCATCAATACCATATGGCATGAACGCAACAATGCGTTACATGAGGGCAAGCTATGGAGCCCAATGGAAGTCATTCATAAAGAGGTAAACAATTCACCATCTTTGACTCAGTTAGCTTTCTCCACATCTTCAAAGTAAAAGGTTAAGTCTCCAAAACCTTTAGCCTTTTGCCATCCATCTGAGCTTCTAAATGAGGGACGTGCTATATTACCTTCCAAGATAAAGTGGAACAGAATACAGAATGTCGTGCCATCATTTGTCATAAGAGGAGGCCAGTTATTCAATTCATTTGGAAATGACGAATTTCTCAGCTAGGTTTCTTTTTCCATTTAAGTCTTTGTGTAATGCTCAATTGGATAGAACTGACAAATCTTTAATTTTCAACATCCTAAAGGATGCAGACGTCGTGAGACATCAGGACAGACTCATGCCTCGTGATGGCGTTACTTGTTGGAAAAGGCATTGCGAGTGTGTTCGTAGCATGACTTTCCTAGAGTGCTGGAGCTTTCACACCTGGAGATTCAAGGGGTGGTGCAAACCAAATCATGAACTTTAGGCTCTCACGAAGTCATGGATGGCACTCCCTCTGCATTCTTCCAAGCTCAACTCTTGCTGCTGCTGGATTTTTTCGTTTTCCTTTATGTTTCCTTGTAACGGGGCCTAGTGCACTGTTGAGATGTTTCGGGTTAGACCCTTCACACTTTAGCAGGCGTAGGCCCATTAAATGTACTTCATTTTATCTTTATAATAAAATTGTTTTTTAAATAATAATAATAAAAAAAAAAAAAGAGACAGATCTTTTCAATCACAATTTTAAGCCTAAGTTGGAAATACTTTGTGTGGACAAGTTCTTCATCCACTTCTCATCCAAAGTGGCATTTTCTAAACTTATTCGGGATAGATACATCTCAAATTTGCTTTGCCACTTTTCTTCTGTAGTTGTTAGAGCTATTCATGGTTCCTCTTTTTCTTATGTGTCTTCTTCTTTTATTTTTCCATACTGTATTATAAGACCTTTATTATTAAAAAAAATGACAGGTGCGATCTTGTTGAATTTGTCCATGGAATTAATCAAATCAACTACATTTTTTAATCATATTTATAAGGCCCATCATAATAATTCTTAATATAAGATTCGTTATCACAACTAATAGATAGTCATGACTTATTTGCAAAATATCTTTATAAAAAGAAGAGAAAGTTATGACAAAGACATACTAGAAGAAAGAAAGAAAACGAAGGTAGTTTTGATTGAAGGAGAAATTAAAAGAGAAGTGTGGATAGAGTAGAGAAGGCACAGACGAGAGAATTTGGAAGAAAACTAGATGTTCTGTACGTCCTTCATTTCCGGAGGTAGTAGTAATGTATTTTCCTCTAACAATAACTCAAAAGAAAGAAAAATGATCTTTGAGGGCAAGGAGCACTGGTTTTCTTTGTGGGATCCCATACGATGAAAGCAGATTGTTATTGGCATTATATTGCATGTCGAAAAGCTATTCATGTAAATGTTGCAGCCAAACCGTTCATGAGTTGGTGAATGCTTTCATCTCTGGATTGTTCTCGGAGCTTCTTCCATCTGTATTCCACATCTTTCCTCTTCTTCCTTTTATCTCTATTCCTGTAAAACGTGTGCCTCAGAATTCTACCAGAGTTGGAAGCTTCTTCAACAACATTCTGAAAATATCTATCTTTTTTTTTTTAAATGACGTTTGTGCTCTTTTAAAAATAAAGAATTGTACTTTTTGCAAAGCTCTACATATATTATGCATTTTTTCATTTAAATATATATATGATTTCCATGAAATTAAAGAAAATCATAGAAGTTAAGCGAATTTTTTCTGTAACAGAGACGGAGAGATAACATTCTTTTTATAAAGTACAAATAAAAATAAATTATTTTCATTGGTCATCATGTCAGTCGAGATTCAACCTTGCCTGTTTCCTTATGTTATGGCTGCCAAAATTTCAGATTATCTTAATGGGCTTAGGATTGGGCTTGTTTCCGTTGTCTCCCAACTGGGCTACTCATGAAAGCCCAAGTTGAGTTGTATAGTCAGTTTTCCGGTAATGTTGAAAAGCAAATCCAACCCTATGTTTTTGGTTGCTTATTGAGCCCAATAAAATTTAGTTTGCTTGGGAGAATGGTCATGTGTCATAGTTATACTTGGGAGCGCTTTTTTTTTTTTTTTTTTTCCCTTTTGGGTGAATGCATGGGAGCATTTGTTTCCGTTTCTTTGTTCTTTCTTTAGTTTTGTTCATTTGTTTATCTTGTGCTTAAGCTGTAAGATCTGACTTAAATTTAATATAAATCTTTTCTTTGATGCCGAAAAAAACACACCACTAATCAATATTAAAGTTCCAAAATTGTTATAAACTATCTTTAAAAACTTGATCAGATATTAATCAACACAAAAAAGTAAGTAGTTCAATGATTCAACCTGATTTTTTTTTCCATTTTTGATTACCCCCTCCGACAAATAGCTTTCGCGAATTTCTATCGCTTAAATAGTAAGTAATAGCAATTATAAAAAAGTAAAGGAATAAGAAAATTATCTTAATAAAAAGATTATGTCCCTCAAAAACTATGTTCATGGTTGAAGTCTTTGAATCTTGAATATAAAAAAAAAACATAATAGCAATTATAAACAATGGGAATAACTTGTAAGATACCATAAATCTACAGTTAATTTTTATATTTAGATGAGGCTTGGGGAATAGAATAACTTGCCACGTTAATTTTATGTTAATTAACCACGATAACATGTGACAATGTGAGATGATAATGTTTTGTGAGGGAAAAAAAGCAGATAGAAATAATTAATAAATTCATAGTCTTTTTGAGGGACACCATTCAAAAAAAGTTAGGGCAAAGGTATACCTTTGCTTTTTTATATAAAAAAAAAATTTTGCACAATAGTTTCTTGACGCTATAAAATTTCTTTTTAGTCCTCTAACTTTTAATACTACTATTTCATATAATGATTTTTTATAACAAGTAATAATTTTTTATAACAATCATTATCCTTTTGAATAAATACAAGGCCCTTAGATTTGTGGATAAATTTGCCACAAAATTATATGGAGTGGGAATAAATACAAGGGGGGAGAGAGAGAGAGACTGTGCGAAAAATCAAACCTTAAAATAATTATAAAAAAAAGGCTTCTCTTTGGAGTATTTTCCTTTAAATGTTCAAAGCAAATGGTGAAATGGTCTATCAAACTGTGCTAACTGACATGAAAAAGGTCAAGCTCATCAAAGCAAATGGTGAAATGGTCTATCAAATGATTTAGAGAATACTTTCTTCTCTAAATCTGATGCAGTTAGTAAAGAACCTGTTAAGTTCTTTATTGAATGTTCCCATGCTACTTCCTACCACAATCAGTGCAAGCGGTAGCCTTTTACATTCTTTAGCCATCTTCTCTGCAAGCCTTGGAATACTAGGGTCTGTGTTCAAAGTGTCCTCACCAACTTTCATGTAAAATAACTTGTCACTTCTTCCTCAGTCAAAGTTTCTACCTTAAAATGTTCTTTTAGCTTGCATTTTTGCGCACACGTTTTTTGACCGAGTTGTGAATAACACTTTGGGTTGGACGTGGCACTCCCACCAAGCTCAAGTCCTTTTCATCCCACATGTCATCCAATAATAAGGCAAATTTCTTTTGCTTGAGGACCCTATAAATCTTTGCTGCTTTTTCATCTTGATTACTATAGCGATTCCAAATGTAATCCCCGATCGTAACCAATTTTCTAATATTATCCATAATACTATCCAAGTTGGGCTCTTTTAACACCACCACCCACACCACAAAATCAGATTCTTGCCTCCTCTTCCTAAGTTCATTGTTAATTCTCTTTAACAAGGTAGTCTTTCCTACCCCACCCATCCCATGTAAACCAATGATGCCAACATTCTCTTCTTCAATAATGGTCTTCCATCCCTTATTAAACATCAAATCTAATCCCACTACTTCATCCTGAGGCATCTTAATTGGCTCAGGCAGTATTGTGTGAGCAATTTTAACATTTTTGCTAAATCTTTTGCCCTTTGTTGTTAGCCGATCTACATTCTCTAGTATCTCAGTAGCTTTCTTCCCTAGCTTGTAGCTTGACTTACAATGTTTCGGAAAATATTTACTTAGACATTTGTCTTGCATTACTTTGACTCCTTCAACTTGAATAACTGTTATTTCCTATGTTAGGTATGTATAAATTATAGTCTTAGCATATCACTGACAGTCTTACACAAAAAATTAAATATAATTTTACGAACTATAGATTATGAAATAAATCAATTTGTAAATTTGATTATTCTATTAATTGAACATATATGTTTACGTAGCAATGAATTACAATATCATTTATCAACGGTCAAATAACATTACAAAGCGATTTATTCTTTTCTTTACCTTCCAAACGATTTGTTCTATGCATATATTTTAATATATTCATATTTGTTAAAATAATTTTTTTAAAAGAATTTACTAAATATATTATGCAGATAACCCGTAAATATTAAATAAACTATTAAGATAGAGATTAGAAATTTATTTTGAGGAGGGAACAAGTTATTAATTCTAAATTTCTAATATAGTTTTCAGTTAAAACAGATATCCTTTTAGTTTTGTTTGAGGCTCTTAAATATGTTAAAGTAAAATGTATGTTTTGAAAATGAAAGAGGAATTTAGTAATTAAGGTAAAATATAATGGTGGTAATATTTATCACTTTAATAATAACTTTTATTATTTTCACCAAAAATACAAACATTTTTATGAATAATTAATTATAAAATAAATCAATTTGTAAATTTCATTATTCTATAAATTAAACATATCTATTTACTTAGTAATTAATTATTACATCATTGATCAACTGTCTATTTTATGTTCCTGAAAATATAACATCGTCCTTTTTTTTTGGGCGGCGAAAATTGGATATTGAAGCAACATCGTTAATTTCCAGGACAAAAGGGGGGGAAAAAAACTTAAGATGAACTATCATTAGAAAATATGTAAACATACTTGACTTCTCTTCAATTTTACTCAAATTATATAAATCTTCCCTCTAATTTTAAAATCTGCGCTTCAGTATCATTTGAAACACCATTAAAATATTCTATTAAAGATTCTAAAATACAAGTTTATTAATTGAGAATAATGTTAAAAATTTTAAATTCTTAATTTATCCTCATAATCTAATTGTGTGCCCTCTCTCTGCAATTTAAATCATTTTAATTATATATATAAAATATTTAAATACTGTTTATAAAATATTATAGTAAAACTTATTAAAATATAGAGTAAAAATGAACAAAAATTGAAAAAATTTATTGACCAATTTTTGCCTTGTTTATTAAATTCCTACCTAGTACCTAATTTGCTTTTCCCCCCCCCCTAAAAGCTACCTCATTTTTTTTTTGTACATACATGCCTGAAAGATTTGTTAGGGCAACATATGGATTAAACATTAAAAAAATTGAAATTATTTTTCAAATACTATCGAAAAAATTTCTTTAAAAACATTAAATTTTCAATAAATATTTAATTTTTTTGGTCAAAAAATAAATATTTAAGTTAGCTAGGGATGTCTTAGTCCAAATCTGGTGATTTAAAGATCAATTAATATGGATGGATGGAAATGAAATATTCAGATTAGAAAGGGTTTTTTGTATCCTGTGACTTTTAATATTCAGAAGAATGTTCTTGTAGCCTTATGTTGTGACGCGGATACACGCGGATTTTACATTTTCAAGTCTTTCAAAATCAATTTAATTCCCTGCCATTACTTTTCTTGTTTCCTCTCTCTAATGGCTAATACCTATTCTAAACTTCCTAAAATTTTTAAATATATTTTATTTCAGTCCTAAATATAAGAGTTAATTAGGTATTCAATTTATTCATTATTATAATATCTCAATCTATTTTATCTCCCATATTTATTTATTATTTTCCAAAATAGTCCTCATGTTAATTACATATGATAAAGAGTTTTCATTCTAATATACATGATTAACAAGCGTGTTTTAGAAAAAATAATATTTATTTATTACAAAAAAACTAATTCATCTAATTTTCTTAATATTCATAAACAAGTGATCTAGCTGTTATATTAAGAAAATGAACATATAATAAATACTTTAAAATTGAACTAAAAAATTTTTTAAGAAGAAATGAGGAACAGGTTGGATGGCAGTAGCTGTTGAAAGTTGTTAACTCTTGTCAGCTATCTATCGACTTCATGTTCTTTGCATTTGTCCAATGTTCTCAGCTTCATCAACTCTTGTCTCCAAATCCCTTTTCGCGCTTTCAAGATCTTCCCATTTTCCATTTAGTGACTCCAAATTCTCTCCCAGTTTACGAATATAATCAGCTTCTTTCTTGGCACCAAAACAAAAACACTTGATAATGTCCCATATGATTTCCCAAAGTTCAGCCATATCTTTAAAACAATGCTAAGTAGTGGCCACGTTAATTAGAGCAAATTCTTTTTCTGGGAAAAAAAACAAAAACTTTATTTGTATTGTTGTGAGTTTAACCTAAAAGTAAAAACAACAATTAATAAATAGCATGAATCTTAACTAATTAACCCCAAACCAGACTTCTTTCTACTTCGTGAAGGCTTGCCGTACTACGCACTATCTAATGATTATTTCATCTAATGCAGGTCCATCGATAAAGTTGGTTTGAAACACAAATTTCTATTCTTTTAGCCACAGCGATACAGAAACCAGAATTTAAAAGCAGCAAATTAAAATCCAAAGAAGAGATCGATGAGATACCTCCCCGTATTCTTTCTTATCAGCCTTGGGCTTCTTCAAAGGCTTGGCTTTTCCACCTATGAACCCAATTATTAATCATAGACGAAAACAAATTTGAGGTTCTAGTTAACAGATCAAAACATGAGGGTTTCATAGATTGAAAATGAGGGGGAAGAGCTCAAGTGCAAAACATAAGAAGAACCAGTAGGGGAATTGGAAAATCCGGAGACGAAGGGAGATTGTTCCCAGAGCTTCTTCACTTTGTATTTCACATCTTTCCTCTTCCTTTCATCTTGAGTCAAGTCATCTCTAAAAGTAAAACATGTGTTGGCGAATACTCGAGTCAAGTCATCTTTAAAAGTAAAATATGTGTTGACGAATACTCGAGTCAAGTTATCTCTAAAAGTAAAACATGTAGCTCAAAATTCTACAAGAATTGGAAGCTTTTCCAACAAGATTCTTAAAAATATCTTTTTTTTTTTAATGACGTTTGTGCTCTTTCAAAAAATAAAGAATTGTACCTTTTGCAAAGCTCTATTTATAATATGTACTCAGAAGTATTATGCAACAAGAAAATGACAAATAAAGAGGCTGAAAATATTATATCTCAAATTAGGCATTTAAGAGTTAAAAATGACATGGAAAAAAAATGATATCTGATATGCTATTTTGTAAATGTAGTTAAATAACTGAACCTTGTATTAAAAAGTTTATTAATAAGTTCTAAACTGATAGTGATAAGTGTTGAATAACAAAACACAAAATATATTTGTAATGACGAGTTATTTATTAATAAGTTGTGAACTGATAATGACAAGTGTTAAACAGAGCAACAAATGCATTGACAATGATAACTTTGACAACTTTTCTTCCAAATATGATACAGGAGCATTTAATCGTTTAACTATATTTGCAACATATACACCAACACTAATTATTTTAATTCTTAGATACCTGAATTAGAAAATAATAATTTTAGTACTCTTTTTCCTGGAATTTTCCCTTATACAAATTTAAATGTATATATTTATGATTTTAGTGAAATTAAAGAAAATCACATAAGGCAAGCGAGTTCTCTCTGTAGTAGAGGGGGAGAGATGACGTTCTTTTTATAAAGTAAAAATAAAAGTAAATTATTTCTCTGAGCCATCGTGTCAATTGAGGTTAAGCCTTGCCTGCTTGCTTATGCTATGGCCACCAAATCTTTCAGATTATCATAGTGGGCTTAGGATTGGGCTTTTTCAGTTGCCTCCCCATTAGGCTATTCATCGAAGCCCAAGTTGAGTTATGTACTGACTTTACTGGCAATGTTGAAAAGCAAATCCAACCCTATGTTCTTGGTTGCTTATTGAGCCCAATAAAATTTAATTTCCTTAGGAGAATTTGGGTTGCTTTCCTTGTTCTTACCTCCGTTTTGGTTTCTTTAGTTTTATTCGTCTGTTTATCTTTTGCTTAAGCTGTAAGATCTGACTTAAATTTCAATATAAATATTTTCTTTGATGCCAAAAAAAACAAATTACTAATCAATATTAAAAAGTTCCAGAATTGCTATAAACTATCTTAAAAAAATCGATCAGATATTAATGACCATAAAAAAGTAAGTAAATTAGAAAAATGATTTTAATAAAAAGATTCAGTCCCTCATAAACTATGTTCATGCTTGAAGCTTGGATATAAAAGAAAACTTAACACCAATTGAATAAGCAATGGGAACAATTTGTAAGATACCATGAATCTACAGTTAATTTTTATATTTAGATGAGGCTTGGGGAACAGAATAACTAGCCACGTTAACTTTATGCTAATTCATAGTATTTTTATGGGACACCATTCAAAAAAAAAAAGTTAGGGCAAACGTATAACTTTGCTTTAAAAAAAAAAAAGGTTACACAATAGTTTCTTGATGTTATAAAATTTCCTTTTAGTCCTCTAACTTTTAACACTACTATTTCATATAATGATTTTTTTATAACAACTAATAGTTTATTATAACAATCATTATTGTTTTGAATAAATAAAAGGCCCTTAACTTTATGGATAAATTTGCCACAAAATTATGTGGAGTGAGAATAAATACAAGGAGAGAGACTGTGCCAAATATGAAACATTAAAATAATAATAATAAAAAGGTTTCTCTCTACAATATTTTGCTTTAAATGTTCAAAACAAATGGTGAAGTATACTAATTTATCGAACTATGCTAACTGAGATGAAAAAGATCAAATTGA